ATACTACTACGAACGGACGGCAAAAAAGTTGCTTTCAAAATTATAAATGATAACAATAACAGTAGTAGTAATAATGATGGTTAATAATAACAATAATAATTATTATCTTATAATAATATTAACAATATTGATAATAATGATGAAAATAATGATGATCATGATAATGATTTTATTGTAATAGTTATTACTGTTATTGTTGTTATTAGTATCATTATCATTATCATTATGATTATCATTATCATTACCATTAGAGCAATAATAGTGATAATAATGACAGCTATGTTGAGGATAAAGATGATGATAATAATAATAATAATGATGATGATAATGATAATGATGATAATAATAATAATAATAATAACAACAATGATAATAATAATAATAATACCAATACCAATACTAATAACAATAATAATAATAAAATAATATGATAATAAAAGCAAATAAGGAAAATACTAATCATTATCACTATCATTATCATCATCAACATTATCATTACCATCATAATAATCATAATAACAATAATGACAATAATAATAACAATAACAACAATGATAATAATAACAATAACAACAATGATAATAATAATAACAATAATAATAATAATAATAATAATAATAATAATAATAATAATAATAATAATAATAATAATAATAATAATAATAATAATAATAATAATAATAATTATAATAATAATAATAATAATAACAAAAATAATAATAATGAGAATCATAACTATAATAATAACAATGATAATAATTATGGCAATAACGATACTGATAATAAAAACAATGATAACGACATTAATAATAACAGCTACAATATTTACGAAAAAAAAAAAATAAAGCAAGGACCCTATCATGCTTCAACAAATGTTTTCAATGCATGAACTTCGACTTAGAAGTTAATCGGCCGAGAGCACAGACATGCACCCGCGCACCATGCATAGATACACACAGGGACTGCATACTCGCGTGTGAGTGTGTATATGAAAGTGTGAATGTGTGAGTGTGTGTGTGTGTGTGTGTGTGTGTGTGTGTGTGTGTGTGTGTGTGTGTGTGTGTGTGTGTGTGTGTGTGTGTGTGTGTGTGTGTGTGTGTGTGTACATGTGTACATGCTTATGCGTATACATACACATGCACGGACACCTTTTAGCGTAGGCTTATGTACGTTCCCACTTCTGAAACGGAGAGCAAAAACAAGGTGCGTTTATACACTAACCAACTGTAATGCAGGATCCTGACCCAGCTGGCATACCACCTCAGCCGTGGTTGGTGTGCATAGTGACATCAGTGGTGCGCTGTCATCACTGTCATCATCATCAATGTCATCACCATTAACACCATCGACCGCTCTCGGCAACGTTCACAGCTTCATTATCCAACCACACTTCCAGTCACAACCGTCGCCAGTAACATTTTGGGAAAAACCCGGAGCGATATACACTAATTTCGACTTTTGGTTACGGTTCGTTTGTTCCTTTTTTATTTCATCGGTTGGAACCTCAGTTGCGTGTCGTCTTGTGTGTGTCAATCACTATTTGCATATTACAGAAAAAACACTTCCACTCAGCACGCGCTAAACTCCCTACTTTTCCCCGAAACACGAGAGTCAAGGAAGGGAAATGACAGCGGATCAGCAAAATTCTTTTTTTCTCAAAATGAGAATACTTGATAAGTTTTGCACCTTGTTTTTCGAGTGAGAAATTTCAGTCTTTCCTTTGATTCTGAATTTGTTTTCGTTTCGTCGCGGTTCGGCTCCGTATCCGTGGCGTCTTTCTCGTTTCCGTATTTCCTGGAGCACTCGTCAGGTCACATGTTTCACATAGGTCGGGTGACCCAGCCTCCTCCTAACCTAGCCCGAGGGCCAACACCTGCTGTAAATACGGTTTGCAGGGTTATACGCGGCGCTCGGCCGGGGGAGGGAGAGGGAGCCGTCCAGCTGCCGACTTTCACGCCGCTGTCACCCTCGTGTGCATGTCGGGTGATGAAACGGGTTCACGGAGAGGAGAGTGCCACAGAGGGTCACACAGGGTCACACCGGGCGGCACTGGGAAGCATGCAGGAGCTCCGTGCACGAGGCAGGAGACACCTGAAGCACAAAATCTTCTTGAAGATGTAGGCAAACTCTGACAAGGAGCCGAGACGTCTTGTGGAAGTCGTCGGCTCGCTGGCTTCCCCGTCTGGCACTCGGGCGAGGCACAGTGACAGGACACTTCGGTGCCTCCAATATATTCCTCTTGCTTGCAGAGTCCCTGCCTGCCTGCCTGCCTGCGTGTGTGCCTGGCTGGCTGGTAGCACAACCGGCCGGCGTGGTGCCTGCCTGCCTGGCCTGCTGCTCTCCTGGTAGACGTGTGTGTACGGCCGTGCGTGCTGGCCCTCACTCACATGCACCGCTCGTGTGCACCTGTGCTCTCCTCCTGCACACCCCGCGGACTGACGCTCATGTTCACTGCGCCGCTCGTCGAGACCCACTGTAAAGACTGGCAAAAAAACCCGGC